CAGAAAAGATAATAGACAATATAGTGAATATAATCAATTGATGAATTTGAATGTAAAGAATTTTTACATTGGAGAAAAATAAAGACAATATAACTAATAAATTATTTCTCTTAATTAATTTATTGATAATGAATAATTTTTTTTAATAAAGACATTGTAGGGACAATGTAGCGAATGTAATCAATTGATGAATTTGAATATAAAGAATTTTTATATTGGAGAAAAATAAAGACAATATAACTAATAAAATTATTTTTCTTATTTAATTTATGGATAATGAATATTTTTTTTGAATAAAGACATTGTAGACACATAATTCTAAATTAAAGAAATGCATATGTATTATTTTTTGTTGTAGCTACTAAATTATTATTTAATTTAATAAGAGTAAAATAGAGTACTAATTATGCCAACTTTGATTGGGATGTGGTTCGAACTTAAGACCTTTCTTATTGAAATCAATGAGTAAGTTAACGGTGAACTAACAGAAAAGATAATATTTAACGGAAAAGTTAACGGATAATCATATTCATTAAGGATAAATTAGGAAATCTTAAGGAAAAATTAAAATCTGATTAATCTGAACCATTCATTTAATTAAAAAATTTGACCGCCATTTTTTCTACCCATTATAGGCCTAACTCTCTTGGGCTCTTATTAGTCTTTAAATGCATATGTATTATTTTTTGTTGTAGCTACTAAATTATTATTTAATTTAATAAGAGTAAAATAGAGTACTAATTATGCCAACTTTGATTGGGATGTGGTTCGAACTTAAGACCTTTCTTATTGAAATCAATGAGTAAGTTAACGGTGAACTAACAGAAAAGATAATATTTAACGGAAAAGTTAACGGATAATCATATTCATTAAGGATAAATTAGGAAATCTTAAGGAAAAATTAAAATCTGATTAATCTGAACCATTCATTTAATTAAAAAATTTGACCGCCATTTTTTCTACCCATTATAGGCCTAACTCTCTTGGGCTCTTATTAGTCTTTAAATGCATATGTATTATTTTTTGTTGTAGCTACTAAATTATTATTTAATTTAATAAGAGTAAAATAGAGTACTAATTATGCCAACTTTGATTGGGATGTGGTTCGAACTTAAGACCTTTCTTATTGAAATCAATGAGTAAGTTAACGGTGAACTAACAGAAAAGATAATATTTAACGGAAAAGTTAACGGATAATCATATTCATTAAGGATAAATTAGGAAATCTTAAGGAAAAATTAAAATCTGATTAATCTGAACCATTCATTTAATTAAAAAATTTGACCGCCATTTTTTCTACCCATTATAGGCCTAACTCTCTTGGGCTCTTATTAGTATAGTAGATATAGGTCTAACTCTCTTGGGCTCTTATTAGTATAGTAGATAGTAGATAGATAAGCAAAATATTTAAAACGAATACCGTAAAATATATGATTTTTATTTATATATTATTTTTCAATATAAAGAAGAAAAATTCAAACAACTTTGTTTATTATAAATAAAATTCTAACATAATGCAAACTCGAGATCTTTTATTTAAAAATAGATGTCCTTCTAGCATTCTTTGATGCAAATTCATCGATCAACTCTTCATAATCTACTTTATCCAAAACATTATTTTCGATAGATATCATTGCTAATCCATTGAGTCGTTCTTGTGACATTGTAGAGTGTAAGTAGGACTTCAACAATTTCAACTTGAAAAAATTTCTTTCTGCAGTTGCAATAGTAACATGAATAGTTAATAAAATTCGGTATGCAATAACGTAACCGCATTAGGATAACAATCAAACAATTTTTATTTCCATACAACTCCCCTCTTCTTAGTTTTAACTCCACATACAAGTGTACAACTCATCTCCATTAATATCTTAATGTCCATTATGCTTAAGAGCATTTTCAAGACGACTACAAGAAGACTTCAAACTCATCATCTAAAGAATTTAACCTATCAGAATTAAACAAGAAACCAAATATTTTCTCATATTCTTGAAATTGCTCAAACCTTCTTTTAAGAGAAACAACAGTCTGATCAACAATGAAAAGAAAATAGTTAACTCTAAATGAATTTTCTGCAGGTAATGAAACTTCTAATAATGCATTTGAATTTTCATCAAATTGTTTTTTTTCTACGGATTTCAGAAGAAACTTGTGCTGTTTTAATTACAAACTTATCTAATGCTCCTATTTGTAATCATTGTAACTCTTCATTTTTTTTTTTTGTTTCTTACGTTTTTCATAGTCAGATTCATGTTTTCTAATGTCGGGAGCCATAATATGAAAATATGCAATTCACAGATTCAACCATTGAAATCAAAGTTATCAAACAACAATACTCTAACAAGAGGCAAGGAGCAAACACATTACACATTTTACATTTAAACACATAAAATTAAAAATTTAAAGTGAAAAACAATTGAAACAACCTGATCGAAAAACCCTTATTTTTTGTTTATGTTGTTCATCTGCTACTGCCTACGGACCTAACGGACGCCGACCAGCACTCCGGTGGCCGGTGCGGTCTCCACTCTCCCAATCTCCCGCTTGCGACAGTCTACAGACCTGCAAAAATGTAGAATAAATTTGATTAAAAAAACGCAGAATAAATTGCGAACAGTCTTCAGGGGACTTTATATACGGAGTACTAATTATTATATAGTTAATATACATGCCTAATGCCTACTTGGCTAATTTAATGAATTTAATAATAATGCAGAATAAATTGCGGACCTAATTGGCTAATTGCTACTTGCCTAATGCCTACTTTGCTTCAGAGAAACACAGAAGCGGGCGATTTCGTTCGTGCCTTCGTGGAGTCACTGGAGTGTCCGACAGTCTGAGTGTGGAGTTAATTAGTTGAATTGCGGTTAGCGACTGAGAGACAGAGATGAATTGCGGACAGCGACTGAGAGACATAGATGAATTGCGGACAGCGAGTGAGAGACAGAGATGAATTGCGGACGTAGAAAAAACATCGGAAAACTGGGTATTGTAAATTTTTGTTTACGAAGAGTCGAAGAAATATTGGGAAACATAGCCAAAGATGAATTGAACTCTAATTCTTCTGATTCCTTCGATCCTTTTACGTTTAATTGGATTTTTTTTTTAATTTTGAGGTATATTAGGTATACTGGGTCTCTAAAATTTGAGGGCCCTCTAAACTTGGGGGCCTTGTGCGGTAGCCCAGCTTGCATAGCCTCAAATCCGGCCCTGAGTAAGGATTACAATGTTGGATTTATTTTATTAGTGCACACCATGGAGTGTGATGGCATCCGGATTATCCGGTCAAAGGTTCAAACCCCGGTGGTGGGGGCTTAGATTCTTTGTGCTGAAAATGTTTGGGAAAGTCTAGAACAGATACTACATTGTAAAGAATCAAGTATTTCAAAAATAAAAATAAAAAATATACTAATGAATAAACAAATGAATAAGGGTCAAATAAACCACTCAACTACGCACCAAATTGCAATTGAACCATCAAACTCAAAAAGAATGCAATTGGATCTCTGAACAACGCAAATTCATGCAATTCAATCCAAATTGACTAGTTTACCTGGAAATGCGGTTATCGAATTTAAAATTATTTTTAAAATAATTTTAAATAAAAATTAAAATTAAAAAAAAAATATAATAAAACCCTTCATCTCCGCCGGAGATGAAGAAGTCTTCTTCTTCTTCTTCGTCTCCGGCGGAGACGAAGGGGTGGCTTCGTCTTGGGCCATCTCCCCGGCCATGGAGACGGCCTGAGACGAAGCCACCTTCGTCTCAAGCCGTTTCCTAGCCAAGGAGATGGCCTGAGACAAAGATCTCTTCGTCTCCGGCGAAGACAACGTAGTTTTTATTTATTTATTTATTTTTATTTTAGTTTTTTTTATTCAAAATTATTAAAAAAATATTTTTAAATTCCGTAACTGTCTTTTCAGGTAAACAGGTCATTTTTAGATTGAATTGCATGAATTTGTGTTGTTCAGGGACCCAATTGCATTCTTTTTTAGTTCGATAGCCTAATTTCAATTGAGTGCGCAGTTGAGTGGTCTATTTGACATTTATTCCTAAAAGAAAAATAATAACATTGGTTCAAATATTAAAAATTTCTTGAAATAAAAATAAGAAACCCGCCAAAGATCTTGTGGTTTGATAGCATCACTATTGCTTTTCATAAGGAAGATCTCAAGTTCGAGTTGATGATGTGGTGGCTACCGAATTTAAAAATAATTTTTAAAATAATTTTAAATAAAATAATTAATTAAAAAAACTCCATGGTCGAAGACGAAAACCTTCGTCTCCGGCCATGGAGATGAAGCCGGACCTTCATCTCCATGGTCAGAAGACGAAGGTCAAGTAACAAAGGTTATGGACACGAAGTTGGCAGGAGACGATTCGTCTCCGGTAGTTCTCTTTCTCTCTATTAAATTTAAAATAATTATTTTATTTAAAATTATTTAAAAAAATATTTTTAAATTCGGTAACCGCCGAGTCAACATATTTTCAGGTAAACGAGATCATTTTGAGTTGAATTGCATTGTACTTTCCTTCGTCCCATTTTATGTGTTTGGTTCAGTTAATGAGGCTTGACGGGAGGTATTTTTAATTCAATTTTTCATAATATTAAGTTAAGTATTAATATACAAAAATTTATATATTTAGAAACTATATAAAAATACTATTAAACATAAAAAATCAAATTTAAAAATAAGTAAAAAATAATAAATAAAATAAACAAAAAAGAAAAGAGTTAGATTTGACTAATAAATAGTAAGTAAGACATATAAAATGTGACAGAAAAAACATTATTTAGAAGATTTAATTATATATATATATATATATATATATATATATATATATATATATATATATATTTAATTGGATGACCTAATTGCAATTAGTGTCTATACAATTGTTATTTAAAAAAAAAAAAAAAAAAAAAAAAAAAAAGCAAGCCTAAAGAGCAATGTCAATGGCGGTTCGTACGAGACCGGACCCGGTCTTAAACACGGAGAAGACAGAAGACGTTATACGCAGGAAATGCCAAGTCGAAAGAAATTTGGGTCATGTACTATTCAACCGCGGGCTTGAACAGTCAACGTCTTCCGCCTGATAATTGCCCGTTTATGACTCTAGCGCTCTCTCTCTCTCTCTGGTTAAACTACTGAGGATTTGATCAATTCGATCTGGTTAGCGATCGCTCAATTGCGAAGAAGTTCATATAAAGCGAGAAAGAGAATCGGAAGTTTTGGAATCAAGGAAACATGTCGATGTCCGACTCCGATACGTCGTCGCAGGGCAGCGAATACAAATGTTTCCGGCAAATTACACGGGACAGTAAGTCATCATTTCATTTCAACTGATATGCTTTACTCTAGTTCACATGATTTTGAGCTTTGTGAACATATCTGGTTCAATTTAATCTTATTTTTAATATAGTCAAAGTTGATTACTTCTGTGTGATTCACATTGAATTTGGTTATTAACTGTGAATAAATTTCGTGGAGTATAAGTGTGGTTTGAGCTTGATGTTAAGCGGAGCTATTGTGTTCAGTATGGACCAAATTGAAAGTGATTTCGAGAGAATGCAGGTTTAGTTTCGTGGATGAGTGGAAAATAACAGAAGGTTACTGTTTATTTAACTTTATGTATTCAATTGTTCTCCTGTTTGTTTGTCTCTCGAATAGTAGCTCGATTCAAACAGGAAAGTGGGTAAGTAATGGCTATGGTGCTGTCAGCTTTCCAGCTAATTGGGGTTGTTAGCAGTCAAGCAGCACAAGAAATGTTCAGTAGTCTGGACTTGATCCTCTTTAGCAAATGTTCAGGATGTGGAGTGTTCAGATTGAATATTAGGTGAACCAAGACCCCAGTCTGGATGAGCTTAATTTAAACTTATCTATTGTTATAAACCAATCTTTTACCATGTTTGGATATTGGATAAGTCTGTGACTTTTCAAGAAGTTGCTTTAAGCTTATTTCAATAAGCTATTTGAAAGCACTTATAATTTAGAATAAGCTGAAAATAGCTTTTCAAAAGCCAATTAAAAAGGATAACCTTTATAACTTGTTTTGAGCTTATTGATAAGTGCTTATCTTAAAAATACTCATTTTAAGCTATTAACCAAAGAGAAAAATGTTTGACATACTATTTGTGTATAAGTACTATACACCAATAGTAAACCACAGCTTGCCTCATCATTAAAAAGAAAAAATCAATACTGACTGAAGATGTTTTGTTTGCAAATAGTAATAATCTTTAAATTATTAATAATTATTATTAATATTTAATAAAAAATAAACCTTATATATTCTAAGAAATTGCTTATGTAGTATTTGGATGTGAATGTGATGAATGAGCAATTGCCTATGTAGTATTCTGAAACTGAAAGTAGTGATGGTCCAATCTGAGCTCTCAACCTTCCAATGAAAAGTTGATGGATTTTATCTCTGAACTTCATCTCTATAATTATACCAATTTGGTGTTGATGGATTTGATATATGTAATACATTCTTGTTTCTACTAAAAATTCTGAAGATTATTGGCTTATTGCAAGAAAAACCAAATCTATATTCATAGAATTCCAACTCTTCTTCACATTACTTGGCCTAAACCCACTACTTGTGAAAGATATAGTTGAAGGTACAATTAACACAAGAAAACAGTAGCTACAAGTAGAAGGTATATAGTAAAGAGAAATTAAATTAGGGTTTATTAACATTTTTAGTATTATATAAATATAAATTATATAAAATAATAAATATGATTATGTCAGTAATGGCTCGATCAATATTCACCTTTTTCTTTTTATTGATGGTGGTGGACTATGATTCGCTGTTGGTGTATATAGTACCTATATTTTGATGGTGCATCAAATATTTTCTTTTATCCAAGTGGGTTAAAAACAAATTTCTTTTATGTTGGAGTTGTTTGGCTTGGTACTAGAATATTGATGAGTGATGAAAACATTTAAAAAAAAAAATCTTTCACTACTGATTATTGTGATATGTAGTTAGTACTTAGTAGTATGAATATCATGTCTAGAAAAATATCTCTTAGCTCAGAACAGACCCAAAATTAATGAGTAATGGAATATTTCATCTGAGAGTGTTATTTGCTATTTAATCATGAATTAGGAGAACACAATACCTTGTAGCAAGAATGCAGACCTGAAATTAATGGCCATCCTCATTTTACTAGAACAAAGAGGGAATAGAATCACTTATCAGCAAGAGAAGTTAGTTTATTGCAGAGGTAAACTCTTGGATATAATTCTTTATGAAACTTATCCACATCCACATCTTGTGTTGCTTTTGACTAGAGTTAATTCCACTTATGGTCCATCGAATGTATTGGCAACTCCACACAGAATCCACAATTTCTTTCCAAGACACATTTGGTCCTATCATTGAAAAACTGGTCTACATTTAGCACAATATTTTACTTTGGTCCATTGAGTCCACAACTTCTCTTCAAGACACATTTAGTCCTATGAAATTTTGGTCCATATTTATGACAAAAATCTACTTTGGTCCCTCAAGTATTGTAGTATGATAAGGATTGACATTATACTCTAGGGAACAAAAATCCTGCCAATTTTCATGTAGAGGACCAAATGTGTCTCAATTAAAAGTTGTGGACATGATCTAGAATTGCCACTATACTTGAGGGGTTGAGTGTGGAATTAGCCCTTTTGATTATTATAATTCAAGGGAGACAACTACAATTTGTAAAACGTATTTTCGTAGTGTTTGTTTTTGTGCCATAATCTTTGATGCAACTTTGATGTATATGATAGGTAGCAATCTAACACTATCGACCATATAGTGGGAGACACTGCCTATTATCGTTACTCAAATTATTATCAGCTTAGATTTCATTCCTACTTTTGATTTAGGAAAGCTTTTGTATTCTACCAAGGCAGCCTAACAACACTTGGATGATATAGGTTGTTGGAGTTAATATGAACTAGCCCAACATAAATAAGTATATGGAAAAGAATAAATATATGAATGTAGATTCAAATGGGTGGATTGGACAAGGATTTTTACGTGGAGACCATAACAATGAAAATCGCATGCCAACGTCAAGTCAAATTTCACTAGGTTGATTGTGAGGATATTCATGGGATAAGCTATGGTGTTTGTCATTTGCTATGGCCGTGGAATTTTTATAGTAGAAGAAAGAAAGAGTTTGGGTATGTGAGGGAGAGAGTTCTCTATGATGAAGAATTCTTGCTCTATAAGAAGTTTGAAAAAAGGAATTGAGAAAAGCTTGCATATGTCTTTTGTATCTTTGTTGATAATGGCAAGTTGGCAACCTCCTTTTATAATGACTTCCTAATAACTTTTCCCTTCTCTCTCTTCACATTCTGCAATGTTTGCAACACTCATCCCATTTGTGCTCCTAGGGATTGGCATGGGTCGAGGGAAAATATCAACCACTCGACCCACCTTTATAATTTCAAAACCCACCCCGCCTTGCTCAGTGGCGGGTGACATTTTTAAAACCCACATATATACCCCTCCAAGGGTGGTACCCATTATGGATAGCTATGAATTTCTATCTTAATAAATACATTTATAAAATTAATAAAATGTAAACTAAATGCACAAATTAAACTCAACTTTCATAGTAAACATAATGCAAATATTCTAATACAATAGTTAAATTATTTATTTTTAAACGCAAATAAATGCCATCAAAGTTCAAAATAAATATGCAATTGGCAAAGGTCTATCTCTACTTCTCTATGTGGAATTCTAGATAGTTGTATTACTTGTATATTGCAAGTGTGTGTATAATTTATTAAAAAATTAACTAAAATAGTGGCGTGGCCTCAGTTTTATGTGGACGGTGTATGCAAACCCAAACTCAAAGCACCACGGGTACAAATTTTAAAGCCCATACCTGACCAATGACCCCACTAATACCAACCTACCCCCCCCCCCCCCCCCCCCCCAAAAAAAAAAAAAAAAAAGGAAGAAGAAGAAGAAGAAGATTCACCTAGGTCGGGTTTGGGTGAATAGCCCTATCCTCAATGCAAATTACAATTCCCATCCCTGTATGCACTACTGCACTGTTCCCCAGGCAGTTGCACCAGTTAGTGCTTTTTGGTTTTTTGTCTGTTAGGGAGTAGTGATTTGGATTTTCTAAGGTCAACATGAACCAAGGAGTTGATGTAGTTCAACTAGAAAGCTGTTACTTAATGCTCAGAGGTCCTGGGTTTGACTTGCCCTGGGCTCACTAGTAGAGTGGGGTATTAGTGTATTACCCCCAACAGCTGAAAAGTTTGGTTGCGACATACAATACTACCTGGCAACAATTTCTGTATTATGAACAAAGATATGAAGGTGAGAATCTTTGGTTTTGTCTTATTTTGCTACATTTTGATCCTTAGGTCACTTGGTCAAGTATAGGAACAAAATATAGGTAATATATGTGCATCTTCCTTCCCCCAGACTATGCTATATATGGGACACATGCACACTGGGTTTAAACTTTCTCAGAAATTCATGATATTTTCATATATTATTATTTGATAAGTAATATTTCATGGAGTATTTTGTTTTTTTACTCAATGATAATGACTTTAAGTTCTTTTGCTTGCATGTGACTTTCTTTTTCCTTTAAACTTATCTTCATAAATTACACCTTATTTGATAATCAAATTAGTATGTAGCACTTTCTCAAAATGCTTCCTTCTACATTTGCAGGATTATTATATGAAATGCTTAGATCGGCCAGGTCAAAGGATTCAAAATCAACATGGAAGGTAAAATGCTATATGGGCTGTGCTTGGTCTGATGTTGAAGATTGAATCCTTCACGATTCTATGGTAAATTATAGTTTCTTGACTCTGTCAGTTTGACCCTCAAATTTGCAGGTACTGATCATGGACAAACTAACAGTCAAAATAATTTCATATGCATGCAAGATGGCAGATATCACAGAAGAAGGAGTTTCCTGTAAGGCATAATGCATTTTACTTTTTACATATTTCTTGAAGCATGATTTGTTAACTCTTATAATGCTTCTTATTCAGATTTTTGTAAATATGTACAAGTAATACTTCATTTATAATATATGTACTTGTGCTGACTTATATTTGAATGTGTATAACTGTATAAGCACAAATTGCATTTCAAAATTTAATTGATTGCTAAGGAAATATAAATTTCTGGATGTATGTGATTCTCCTATTTCTTCTCTCCAATTTGGTTTGTTCAAACACTTATTAAGATGTGCCTAAACACATTTGATAGCGGCATTAAGTGTGATACAATTTAAGTCAGTATCGTTATATTCTTGTATGTTAGATGTACTCTTGATGAATTTGTATTTTTTTCAATTCACTGTTCATATCTACGCATGCATGTTATGTTAAGCTGCCTGTTCTTTGGAGATCTAATAAATACAATAATACCATTAATGATACTTTATATCTTTCCATTTTTGATTATATTTAGATGCAAGTGATAATATTAGTGTTGCTTCAAGTGTTTTTTCTCTTCTTATTGTGTGGTTTATTTTGCTATACTACTCGGTGCTTTCTTATTTCTGGAATTTATCAAACGTAATATGTAATATGATTGGAGTTAGAAAAAACATGTATGGAGTAATTATAAGCGTGATGGTAAAAATCTTCAGTTTATTGACTTTATTCCAATTTTGGTCCTAAACTTTGATTTGTTCCACTTTTAGTTCTCGACTTCTAAAAACATCCACTTTTAGTTCTAAAGCCCTTGTGAAAATTTCAGCATACCCCACCCTACTACATTTGAGGACATTTTGGGCTAAAAGTGGAACAAATTAAAGTCAAGGAAAAAAAGTGGAAATTCTATTATAGACGATGGACCAAAAATGGAATCAACTCAACATGATGTTTTATTTGTCTATTCAAAGAATTTTATATAACCTGGTCTCATTTTAGGCCAGTGAATGGGGTTGCAATATTGTTTGGATTTGGGTATATCTCATTGGTGCTCCAACCAGAATATAATCTTACAAATTAAGTTGTTTCACACAGTAGACCATTTCTTGCTGTCCTTGATGTGTATACTGATGTTCTTTCCTTTTCCATTTACTTATGTATGACCTAACATTTGAAACTTAATTAGCTTGATTTTTGCCAACAGTGGTGGAAGATATTTACAGGCGACGCCAGCCACTTCCCACGATGGATGCCATATACTTCATCCAGCCCACAAAAGAGAAGTAACAAATCATATGAATTCTTTTTCTGTATTTATTTTTAAATAAATATGAAGCAATCATCATATGGTAGGTCTTGGCTTCTATGCTTTTGAGAACTCTTTGCTTTAACTTGTTTAACCTTCTATTTACTATTGCAGTGTTGTAATGTTTCTCTCCGACATGGCTGGGAAATCACCTTTGTACAAGAAGTATGTTGAAGATCCTCTATTCAATGAAAATGCTCTTACTCTTTTTTTTTTTCTTTCTTTTTTTAAATTATAAATTTTTGGTGAAACAAAGAGAGTTCAGATGTCAAACAATATGTTCAGTTTTGGTCTTTTGGATAAAAGGGAGTCAATTATTGAATTGGCTTGAGTATCTTTTCTCTGCTCCCACATCCAAAATAATAAAGAGTAAAATTTTTGCAAGTTATAATATGTTTTGATGAAATATTCAATCCTTCTCACTTTGGTGTGTGTGTATTGTGCATTTTATTTTTAGGGCATTTGTTTTCTTTAGTTCACCTATTACAAAGGAATTGGTTAATCACATAAAGAGGGACACTAGCGTTCTGTCTCGCATTGGTGCCTTGAGAGAGGTTATGGTTTCTCCTCTTAAGACTACTCATTATGGTTCTAATATTTTTGTTTACTGTTCTGATTATTGGATTTAACATACAGATGAATCTGGAATATTTTGCAATAGACAGCCAGGTATGTATGGTGCTGCATCACTGAACAAGCCAAGAGGCTTATGCTAATTCCTCTGGATTCTGGCATTCTGCACTAAATTTAAGTTTTCAGTAATAGAAGTTTAGCTTTGGTTCTTTACCATAACAAGTAGAAATCTGCTTAAGTTTTATCTGGTGACCTTTTTTTTGGGTTTGCTGGCAAAGTAATTTTTGCTCATGGAGATGGTTCTAAAATGGCTTTCACTAGATGGTGAACTTTCCACTGTATGCAAAAAGAATCTGGGATGTATTATTTTTCTTCATTGGGAGTGAGTCTGTGCTACACCATGCAATAAAATGACTTTTTCAGTCTTTCATTAGACCTAATCCTTAGTTCTCATAAGACCTACTTTGCTAGTAATAACTTTTCATGCACTATGAAGTATCCTCATTCTATAATTGGATTTTCATGCTATTTAAATCTAGGTTAATTATTGTCCTTATCACTTAGTATTCTTTCAACTCCGTACCATTCCTTTGAGTACTTTATTTATGTTCAACATTAGTGAACCTCCTCTTCAATTTTTCTATCATGAAGAAGATACACTCTGTGAGATTGTGCAAGATGTCTATATTTTGGAGTATAATTATTTTAGTTAAAAGAAGAAATACATAAAATTTTTGAAATAAAATAAAACCTAAAGAAAGCACCAAACTCAGGTGTGTTGGTTATCTACAACTTAAGTGCCACCAATAGATGTACTTGATATTTTTGTGATTTTTGTCCTAATAATCCGAACTGTTTTTATAGCTGTTTTTTCTTGTCCATTGTGCATGTTTTGCTTTAGGGTTTTGTAACTGATAACGAGAGGGCATTAGAGGAACTTTTTGGAGATGATGAGGGTTCTCTTAAGGGTGATGCATGTTTGCGTCTGATGGCCAACCGCATTGCTACAGTTTTTGCCTCATTGAGGGTATGCTGTCAAGACCTTGATTCTAATTTTCTATATTCAGCAATACTGACTGCTGAGTATCAACAACATTGACTTTCTACAGGAGTTTCCCTTTGTTCGCTACCGTGCTATCAAATCCCATGATCCAACCACCATGACTACATTTCGTGATTTAATTCCTACAAAGCTTGC